TAGGCGAGTCCTGCCACTGCTGTATCTGCTCATCCGATATTTCTGACAACAAAAATGTGGAATTGAAGAGCTTACAGATAACATGCTCAGGCAGCCGATGTGAACATCTTTAAGGAAATAGATGCGGCTACGAGGGGGCAAATTCGTGTGTGGGAAGGACTGCCACTTCAAACAGCACGAAATCCATACAGTGCAGCGGGCTATATTTTAATGCATGCCAAAAGTTGGATGGATGGAAGTAAAGATTTGGTGCAAGTGGACATGTGTGAAAAGATTGTAGCCTAATTTGCGATGGAACAACGCACTTGTGAGGAAGAGAACTGAGGCAGACAGACAGTTAGGTCTTGGGTGAGGGAGGTCGACCCGTTTTCTATAATCTCACCTCAATGCCTATTACGTCTCGACGAATAAATGCACACACAATTATGGGAAAAGACTCGGACGTACCATCGACGGCGTAGCGGATATCAAACCAGGGTTCTCTGTAGAAGACCTCTTCTCTTGTATCCGATATGGAATACGCATTGAATTCTGGCAAAGACACAGCTATTATCGCTTTCTCGGGTGTAAGATAACGCGCCACATCGACGTAGGCCTGTGGTGAAGAAAAAAAGCATACACTTACCGTCTTTGACATAACCACAGTTGGTAAATGGATTGGAACCCAATGAGTACTTCAGTTCACTATTAACTTCAATTGTTGGAATACTGTGTTCCAATTCCAACTCATCGCCTCCCAAAAGCGGTGGTGCAATCCACGTTCTAGTCAAATTGGTAAGTTGCATATCCATTACATTGCTACCAAGAGTCAATACACATGTGGATCAACTCGATCCGACCCAATCCAGACTTTGGCAATCAGGCGAGCAAACAAAGGTGGTATCGCATGCACAACAACGTGGGGGTGATAAAACAGGTCGATGGATAACGGAGGCGGATATTCACTAGCATCCGGTGATGAGGAGCTCAGCCGCTCAGCAGCAAGACATTTAGTTGGTGTTTGCATTAGAAAAAAATGCCCAAACATGGTGGTGGTCACATCCATTCCAAGGTCAAACACCTGGGTCCCTTTCAAGTGAGACTTAATGGTATGGCGGAACGGGGCCCCGAGCGACCAATAAACACTTATCCGCTTCGGTTTGAATCATCATTTGAATGATCGACTATTATTTGGGTGATGGGTCAGTAAGCCCGAGTCAGGAGATGGGGGAGGGAGGTGAGGATACCTCCGTTCACCTCAAATATCTGACCTTAGACTTTAGCTGTAGGGTTTGTCGCTCTCATCATCCCACCCGTATCCAGTAAATACAGGATGACTAATCAGCCTATGAAGGCCTCGAGCAACTTTTCCCCTGCCTAACAAACAAACATTGTTGAAAGAACCTTGGATGCGAAATCAGACACTGTGTGTTGAATCGAAACGTGTCCCAATGACATAACTCAAGTTCAGCCCGAGAAAAAAGTGATACCAAGGTGACTTAACCGAGGAAAAAGGAAGGTTAGGAGGTCTCCAGGGTTATGAGTACCGTTAATAGACAGGAAATCTGTTATAAAAACGTAAAAAATGAACGAACAAGCCCTTCTACACGAACTACGAACGCAACACAGGCATTCACAAATACCGCCACTTTTGGCAAGTTAGTCCACGCTAGCAAAGGAGACAGGTTCCCACACATCACCTGCGTCGACGGGTTGAGCATTCTATGGAGTTGGAAAAGTGTTTTCATAAAATCAGAATTTCCGAAATTGTCAATATACATTGACAAAAATCCAGACGCAGCATTCCATTTGGGCATTAAAACGATGTCCAAGGAACGGAAGTGCGCAAGCAATGGTACAGACGCAGGGGAAGACCGTGACAGAATATGAATAACTAAATAAGCAAACAACTGCTAAAATTCGTCAATTTCATTTACATTCTTCAATCATTTAGTTGTAATTTGAACAATCTTACAGAGTAGCAAAGAAGGGGTAAGCATTACAATCAGGATTGGAAGGGCTCAAAAATGTCACAAGCGTACCTTCAAATCAGGTTCCAAAATCAGCGAATCAGCGATAAAGACTTCATGGGGCGGGAACTTTCGCATCGCCATGGCGATCGTCTGTACGTTAGTGAGGGGCTCCAGAGACGCCAGGAAGCGGAAATTTGACGCCCAGACCTTCTCAAACTCGGGCACGAGGGAGGCGAAAGTGCGGTCACCCCAGGGTGTTATGGTGGCCGACGGATTGGCTAGACTGAAATCAGCGGCGTCGCGGAGCATGTGCAGGTAGGAGAAGACGTAATCGGCCACCTAGAGAGGCAACAGCAGCGTGCATAATCCAGCACGATAATCCGCGAATTGACAAACTCAACAGTGATAGCTTCGAATAGCAGATCATCAGCATTAGCCAACCCACCAACCACGCGTAGTCATAAATTTGGGGTTTGTTTAAGAGTGATAACATCTTCGGATTAAGTAGACGCAGCCTGTATCTCAAGTCTTGCGGAAATTTTCCCTGTCGTAAAAAAGAAGAAATCTTCAGAAACATTGTCCCTTCACTGCGTTTCAAATGCGCCCATGAAATCGGTGAGATTCTGCATCTCAGAACAGACGGCAACTAGATCTTAGTTCTGCAGATTCACTCGAGGACCTTGCACGCCAAAGACAACGATTCAGTATACATCCCTAAATATTTTTCAGGAATAATTTGGCCTTCTAACAGCACTCCCGAAAGGACATCAATTCATTCACATATACGATAGCACCTGCTAAAGATTTTATCACTGTCCTCCACTGCGACTACTTAAAAAAACTTTTGCAGCCCAGAGCATTCAAAGTGCTTTATCTTCTATCCTTTACACGGATAGAGGGAGACACACAATACAGTAAATACATGATCTTAATCAAACCCATGAAATGCACCACGTCTTGCTACTGTCTTGTAAGTCCTACATCTCCAGATAGACATCTAAAAAGGCACAAAATGGCAGCTCACTAACTCACCGTGGTGGGAGCTGTACGACTGAATTCGGATAGATTTATGCTAATGCCAAAGAGACTGGTCATTTGATTGTGATGAGTGCTGTCATTGACTGAACAACCGGCATTCAACTCCACTGCCAGATTCCTGGAAGTAATCGAAATCATATATTAGCGATGCCACGAGATTCTACTGAATTGGCCTCGGTGTCAGAAAGTCTTACAACTTGCGGAGATACGCCACCAGACTTCCTCTGCCTTGGTGCCCAACGATGGAAGCAACAAACTTCAGTGCTGCGGATCTAAAAGGAGGGAAAATCATTCACGGAGCTTCGTTTCCTCCAGAGAGTTCCTCTCAGGCCAGGAAAAGGAAGTGAGTACGGCTAGAGGAAGTAATGGTCACGACCTAGTCAAGCAATGAATAACCGACCACAGCTTCCGATAATCCATCTTTTAACCAGAAATGCTTAATTTCATAAAGTTGGTAGAGGTAGTGACAAATTGCAAAAAGAATTGAAAGCACTCATCCCCTGTGGAGTGGTAGATCAAAATCGCCTAAACGCACCTATAATGCGAATGCATCGGAGGAAGGCTCCAAATAAACGTAATCGATACGGTCTCCTTCACTGGACAAACTGGACGAAACATGGGCTAGGAATGAGGCATATTATTCTTGCCTTTGTACATTTTCTTGTATACTGTAGATGGAAATGGGTTTACGAATACTGACAGGTCGGGTGCCTCACAATTTCTAAAACATGTTATTTCAAGGTGACAATTCAAATAGATAAAACGAATTTAGATTGAGTCGAAAACTACCGGTTGGGAATAGGACTGAAAACTTCCTTTACCATCGATTCAAGATGATCCAATGTGTCTAAAGAAGAAGATCGGTATGCAATCATCTACAAGTCCAACTGGCAACAGGGGTATTCTTGATGGAATCTCACCTTTCGATTCCACGGCCAATGTCATGAGGGAGGCATTGTAGTACCTAAGCTGGAATTCTCGAAGTAACTCGTACACATTGGTGTCCGCGTCCATGGGCTTATCTCTTAGAGAAGTTCGGTTCCCTAAGTGGGGACAGAAAAGGAAATTAGGTAGGATATACAAGATTCTCGCGCTTAGGAATAATTTTCCGAATACAAACCAAAACCGAAAGTACGATAGGGCGACCCCGCTTTGGCAAATGACGCCATAAGGTGACCCAAACGCCGAGAATCATCTAATTTAGACGCCTCGAACTCTGCAAATTTATGCAAATAAGAAGACTGTCAATCTTCAGCAACTCAAACGGTAGCAGAAATCTGATAAAAGACAGGCCAACCAACCACTATGGACGGCTTCAAGCTCGCGATCGACACAGTCCTGACTAAGCAGCGGCGCAATGAAGAAGTTTGCAAATTTGTCAAGAGCCTCCCTAAAACACAAACGCTGGATATCGAAGAAGAACAACGTATAGTCGCCGTCTGTGCAGGCATTGGTACTCCCACCACAACGCTTGATATAGTCGTCGAAATCATTTTCTCGGGGATACTTTTCGCTCCCCATAAAAACCACTGCATAATGCGAGATTAATGGACAAAAATGTAAGTAGAGTGATTACTGTGCTCTAAGAAATGTGCCAGTCCCTGAGCTTCCACCGGGTCGGAAAAATACCCAACATTAACGCATAGTGCTGCAGCAGACTATGGCAACATGTAAAAGAAAAAAAACAAATAGGCAAACCTTTTGAGATTCCATTTTGAAATATCCTTTATCGTAACAAGCGGAATCTCCTTGCTCACCCCCCTTCAAGGCATCTCCATGTGAGTCTGTTCCAGGTCCTGCCGTTACCCCAGGCTTCAGGCTGGATATTAGCATGACCCGGAGACCATTCCGAAGCTTGATAAATCTAAAACAGCCTTGAATTTTGCAAAATGGCAGTACCGATAGCTTTTGAAGTCAGCGCTGGACTTCACTACCTCCATTTTTGTCCTCTCGCGCACAAAACTGAGCAGGACAAATTCCGTACTACGCGCTAAATAGGTATTGGCTCATAAGTTACCTTCTGTGAAGGTTACAAAAAACCAGATCATTTTAAAGTTTCATGGTCAAATAATACTAAAATTTGTAGTAAGTTTGAAGTATATAGACACTCTTTCTTTCACAATCTGTTCCCATGGCGCCAAACTTAAGTAAATGCTCTTTCATTTAAATTATATTTTAATAGTTCTCTATGCTTATTATGCCTTCATTGTAGTACTACCTTCAGCTGGACCACGCACACGGGATCCCTATACATTAAAAACCCTACTTCCATTAGTTATGTTTTGAAACATTTTTCCATCCAATTTTTAAAGCACCTCTGCCATGCCAAAGTCTACTGCTTTCATCACGCATCTTCTATTGCATTTTGGTGGGTATTCAGAGGAATTCAAGCGCTTAAAACCCCACAGATGTCCGAACAGACGTCAAACCCCGATGCACATACCTCAAGATACACTGGCCTAGGTACCAATTGTAGGTGGATTTACTCAGCCGAATTCTTAAGGCCATCAATCAGGAAGTGGAACACCGACCATAAACAGACATCCACTTCCAATTCCGCGAAAACCTAAACACTTGTACTCAATAAAAAGCATACACTCCTAACTCCGACCTACAATTCAAAACAACTAGTAGCTACTTGATATTCACACTCCGCTCAATCAAGTAACAATAGAAAGCTATAAAAAGAGCAAAAAAATATATAAGAAGACGCATTACCCAACATCTTTGTAGCTACACATGTCTAATCGCAAAAACTACTGAGATGACGATGGAGAAAAGACTTGGTGTTTGAAGCGGCGTAATTTTGATATTTCCACAAATCGTCGGGGTGCAACCTCCCTCTCTCTCCCTTTTTAGGCTCTATAATCGGCGTGGAGTCCTCTTTTGCAGCATCAGCAACGAAGCCGCCAGTGCACATTCACAATAAGGGCCGCGCTCCGATCCGCCTCCGCATAATCGCCACTCATGGGAACCATGCAGAGCGGTCAATCAAGGCTCTTCAAAGCTTTTGCAATCCCCCTTTCGATTAGACGTCCATCTATTCCACAGTACTGAGGTAGCCCACCTTAGAAGTAGGGGGCAAAGATAAGAGAAAAAATAGGCAAGAAGTTGGTCAGTGGATCCAGAAACTTTCTCTCTCTTACTAAAATGGCGTTGGGCATATTTTTATGCCCCGAGCAGAAATGTGATCAGGGGTAGCCCCTGTCATAAGCCCGGATCGCAGGTTGAGACGCATGACTTCTTGTTTGCTTGTAAAAGGAAAGAAATCCAACCGAGCAAAAAACGCGCACAAATCACTGCAGATTTTGAGATTTAAAGAATCGGAATCACATTACCATAGAACGACTCTGTCGAATTGGCAGATCTTTCTTTCTCTACTATTTCCAGACCTTCTTTGGATTTATATAACTTTACACATCAAAATTCCCTATGGGTTCAACGCAACGCAAGGCAGCGCGACGCAATGCAGACAAGTCGAAGTACAAACGGTGTGTCAAGTGGCTCTCCAATTTGCAGGCTTGTTCGAGTCCACTGAAATCACACTCACCTGGATCATCAGACTTGGCTGTTTCTCCAGGTTGTGGTAGGTCTCCCTGTAGAAGTCCTGCACATCACTCAACTTCAATTGCCGAAGAATTTCCACCTAAACACGACACGCAAATTGTGCTCACGCCAGACATGGGAGTACGGTGGTGTGCAAGTGAAGGCACCTCGATCAAAATAACGTACCGATCTCTGACGACGATCAAAAATAGGACGATCGGAGAAGATTTCCCTCAAGTTGCGGTTGATTTCCATCTTCATTGTGGCGTCTTCCAATAGGTTTGCAGCTATCAGCACTTCCACCTTAAGCAAAAAAGAAAATAGTTCGAAAAGTATAACCACATAGGGAAGATCTCCGTCAGCCCTACCAGATTTCATCATTTTTATGGGTGGCAGTTTGGTAGATGAAGAGGTAAAATCATGATTTCAGTGACTACATCCCAGGAACATCATAGTTTGCAGAGTCCCAATATAGAAGGGCTAGCGAAAACATACATGTAGATATAACCACATATGGAAGTAGTAATAACTTTGTTGTTTGTTAGACAGTCAGTTTTGGCAAAGGTTTACTTTGCCTTGGCCATTATACCTGGCCAAGTGGGCTGGACTTCGGGTTATGCTAGTAGTCCTGGTACCTTGTATGTATGTAGCCATACATACAAACATGCATACATACTGTAATACGATGGTTGTTTATCTCTCTGAATTAGCCAGGAGCCACTTCGGACTTGACCTTTGTACCACGCCGGGTGAGCTGGCCTTCCGGCCATACCAGTAGGCTAAATACTTTTTCTGTAACGAGTATACACATTCTGCCTTTTTTCGTCTTCAGGAAAGTCTCGGGATGCTACATTGTTGGCAGCGGAAAGCTAATCCGATCTTAAAGCACATTTATCCTGATTGTCCACTTCTGCGTGATAAACCTCAGTAGAGCGGAAGAATTACATATGCCACGGATGGGAGAATGATATTGACTCCTAATGGAAGGGTTGAAGTTGACGTCTACCTTCGGCATCTATCCCAGCCCCGTGTTCTGCAGAAAAGCTATTAACAACTGAAGCGACACTAGCCGTGAACCATCTGGAAGTTTCGTTACAGACTTTCCCTACCGTCCCCCATGTACCTATTTTTAATCCCGTCCTGCCCTACACAAATCTACCCTTAGGCCGGTGTTCCTACATCCATCTATGGACATGCATGATGGCCAGCGCAGTTTCCTGTCCCGAATCAAGTTCCTGAACCAGACAAAACTCCAGATCCAGTTAAGCTGCCGAGAGGGATTAGTGACGTTGAGGTCAAGTATCTTCTCAGTTGCACGCTAATTTGGTGACTGACACGGCCGCATTGCGGGTGTTTCCTTACAGCACCGACTACGTTGTAATGGCTGACGCGGGAGGTTGACCTGCGGGAGCGCCAGGGACGATGCTCAAAAGAGGAAGAAGGCTATGCAATACAATGGTGGTTTATCCCTCGGTATTGGTGAGGCGCCAGTGGACTTCTGAATTAGCCCCCTTGTACCTCGCTGGGTGGGCTGGCCTTTTGGGCCATGCCAATAGCCCAGACACCTTCTCTGTGCTGAATATGTGTGTTCTGCCCGAGTATTGTCTTTTTTCGTCTTAAGGGCGTCTCGGGACGCTACACTTATGCACACACACACGTATACACGTACATACGTATGTATTCCTGTATGTACATATACAAGTACTATGACCTCTTCTGCCTCCAGAAAGGATTCTGTCCGCTTCACTAGTGCTTACTGCATTTATAACTTATATTACTCGACAAATTTATGAATAATTATGTTTTGGGCAAAAATTAACAAACATTTAAGAAATTTTAGCGAAATATTAAAGAAGGACTCTCCTATCAACAAAGCTACCTCCTTCGAGTGAATAGATTTCGAAACATATTATCAAGCGGTTTATGCTTTTTTTAAACTAATAATGCAAAATCATAGCAAACCCCTATTAGAAGGGGTGTGGATATGCCTTCACCAGTGGGATGTTCTGAAAAAAAAGCATTTGTTCTTCCTACTAGTGATGTGGCAGTGGATACGAATGGAGCGGCTCTGTTGTTCGTAAAAAAGGCGGTGTCGGAAATGACTCAGGATGCGTTACAGGTCAGTATGGTATTCAAGCAGGGTATTAGTTTGTCAAATTATCATTTTGTCGCAGCTGATGCGGCTCCGTGTTACCTCTGAGGTGGATGGAAGAATCGGTGACGACCCTAACAGAAGGGTTGAAAATGAAGCCTACAGTCGTTAAATACCCCATTTCGTGCTCTGCAGAAATACTACTAACAAGTGGATTGATACTAGCGGTTAAACATTTGGAAAGTCCCTTACTGAGCCGTCTATGTTACCGCTATGAAGATATCAATGGAGTGAACACTTGATATTCCTGCAAATCTTCACCGGCTGGATAGTACTTACAGGGATATGAAGTAAGACCAAGGTGGCAAAAAGAAACATCCACAAGGCCCTTTTACCAAGGAACTACGGTACATCCTGTTCTTTGTTACTCAGCTCTGCTCACAGGCCAGTATTGCTGAAACTAGAGATAGACATGCGTCATAATCAGCAGATTTCCCAATCCCCTAATCCACTTCCTATTCAGAACGAAACTCCGGATCCAGTAAAACTTTTAAGAGATGTCAGCAACGCTGGGGTCAAATGCCTGCAAATTTGTGCGAAAATTAGGTGACTGGCACGGTTGGCACGTAGGTGTCTTTCTGCAGCACCGATGTAGGAGATTGTCTAAGGGAAGCGTCAGAGGCGAGACTTTGAAGGAGAAAGACTATGTAGTGCGCTTCACATTAACTCTCAACTACGGTAACAGGTCACTTAGATGATTCGCAATCGTGCCATCGCCATGCGGAGTCGGCAATGAATATTCTGCCTGAATATTAGCTCTGTTCGTATTCAGCGGAGCCCTGGATAGCAAATAAGAGAACTGTAATTTGGCACAAATAGGTACGGAAAGGCAGAATCAAATAGCATTTTGAGCCAAACCTTAACTTTACGTCAACAGTGGCGACGAATACGAACGTTGCCATAAATTGGAATTGATGCTTAGACTTTGTAAACACGATCCATCTCTTTAATTACTTCTACCAAAGCTCTCTAAAACAAAGAGCCTTGGTGTCATTGGCGGCACTTGTTTTAGATTTGGAAAAAATGCATTCTTATAACACTTCCCAGCAATTTAGGGGAAAGTATTTCGAGCAAGACTTAGTAAAGAAAATCGCCAGAGAAAAAAGACAGTATTTGAAAGGGACATTTTTGCTAGCCTTTTATTTTTATGTTTTTCCACACTGACCCTTAAACATAATCCCGTACATACAAATTGTGCAGATGTAATTTGTAAATTAATAGCCATTTAGCGCGAAATCCAAAGCTGCTCCTGCTTGATGCGTGTGGGCGGCATGGGAGAGATGGGGGTGGTAAAATCCAATGCTGACTTCAAAACTTATCGGTACTGTTTTTTCCTCAATTCTACTTTTTCACAGTTTTACCCAACTGCTGAACGGTCTGCGGGTAATGCTTATATCTAGCCTTAAGCCTGGGGAGACGGCGGAATCAGAGACAGCCTCAGATGGTGATGCCTCGGAGGGCTGGGAGCAGGAAGAAGCCATTTGTAACGATGACAAGATGCCCAAAAGTCCCATTCGAAAGGTTTGACCGCTTGGTTTTTCTCTACAAGTCTATAGTCCGCTGCTGCATTATGCATCAATGTTGGATATTTTAGCGACCCGATGGAAGCTCAAGGACTGTCTCATTTTTTGGAACACAGTAATTATACTCCTCTGGTATCGCCCTAATAATCTCACTTTATGTAGTGGCTTTTATGGGAAGCGAAAAATATCCCCAAGAAAATGATTTTGACGAATATATTGAA